AAACGTCTCTTGTGTCTGGCTGTTAGTAAATAATGTTAACTGGCAGGTGGAGGCGCAGGAGACAGACTATATATTACACAGAGAACAACGTCGCCAAGCCTTGATAATAATGAGTGGTGTAGTGTGATGCTGGTGTAGTGTGATGCTGGTGTAGTGTGATGCTGGTGTAGTGTGATGCTGGTGTAGTGTGATGCTGGTGTAGTGTGATGCTGGTGTAGTGTGATGCTGGTGTAGTGTGATGCTGGTGTAGTGTGATGCTGGTGTAGTGTGATGCTGGTGTAGTGTGATGCTGGTGAGTCCCCCTGTACGTGTTGCTGTTGTCGACGGCTCAGTGGGGAGAGTCTGCTAACCCCTTGAGTACTGAGCCCCTTCTGAGCATAATGACATCGTCTGGCGTTAGGTGAATAAAGCATTAAAAGTGGCGTCCCTGTAGTGAAGAGGATAATATTGCACTTGTGAACTCAGGGAGGAAGTTACGAAAGAATGACAGTTATATAAGTAAATTAATCGAATCGGAAATGAACTGACTCACCTCACTCGATGGTGAATTTACAGACTAATTGATATACATGTTGGGCTCAGAAAATGAAAAGCGACCACAACGTGTTGTGGTTGGTTGGAAAATAACCAGAAGAGATTTTGCTTTTGGCTTGGCTTGGCTGTTTTAGTTTAGTTTGGATTGGGTTAGGTTAAGGTAAAATCCAAACTCAAAATTTCGCTTTCTGGTTATTTTAAAAACAGCCACAACGCGTATTGGTCGTTTTTCGTTTTCTGAGCCCAATATATATATATATATATATATATATATATATATATATATATATATATATATATATATATATATATATATATATATATATATATATATATATATATATATATACAGTGTATCAGGACGAAAAACCATTAGTCAAATTCATGACTCGAAGACAAACAACAGAGTGATATTAAACAACTTACGTCATTGTTCTATTGATCTAACTCTCTCTCTCGCGTCTGGTCAGCAAGTTCGACAACCCAAATGAAGCGGCACAACAGTTCGGAACAGTAGGTGAGGCTTCACAACAGGGAGTGAGATAGTTATGAACATACGAAGCCCTTGTGTTAATCATGTTTAATAATAATGTTTAATTAGGGATACGAACCTATCAACTGTGTGAACGAATACCTGATATTATAATGAGTCTTATATGTATTCCCCACTGATGTGTATTGAACAATGATTAACAATTAACAGGTGAGAAGAGAGAGAGAGAGAGAGAGAGAGAGAGAGAGAGAGAGAGAGAGAGAGAGAGAGAGAGAGAGAGAGCATCATATATGCCCAAATATCCATCTCCCACTTCCTCTCACGTCAAGATCCTCCTACGAGTGTCTCACCTCTAACCTCACCGGTCTACATAATGAACACCGAGCTCATCAAAGGACTACCTGGGGGAGGGGGAACTTTGGTGACTTTATGTATCTTCTTATTACACGACCTGAGGATTTTCTCACTTGCGTTACGTCTATAGAGCTTCGCCTTCCCCTCCCGACAGGCTCAGTTACTCACCAGGAGGACGGCAGGGTAGTGTCCGTTCAGCTCGTGGGGGGATGAGAACGATTTCCAAGCTCCAGTCTGACTTGCTGTCCTCACTGTCTTCCCCGACTCTACCATTCCTCCTTATGCCTTCCCCCACCGTTCCTTCCTTATGTCTTCCCTCACCCCTCCCCCCCCACCTCTTCCCCCTACCAACCCCGTAGTTCGTCCTCGACCAGATCGCTGAGGCATTATAAAAGAAACATCCGGCTCAAGAAGGACATAAAAGACGCTCAGGTTTGACTACGATTCATAAAGGAGTCTAGTCGGCATTTCACATCGACTTAAAGAGAAGCTTCCGACAGCGTACAGTCTCTCAAGTCTTGTATGCTACGTCGAGGGTGAATATCTGGTGCCGTGTTGTGCCGTGTTGTGCCGTGTTGAATTTTTTTTAAGTAAGAGATGAATGATGCACTCGAGGAATATTAAACGTGAGGCTATATGTTTCTTCCACAGACAAGCCACGCCAACCTTACATACACCAGAGCCACAAGCCATCAGACATAAACCTGACACACGAGGGACAGAAGCAAGGTGATCTCATCCGTGGCCCCTTAGAGAACACACAACTTTTACTCAGCTAATGGGCTTATAAACACATGTTGTCAGTCTTACGGGGAATTAAACCAACTGAGAAGGGCTGTATATTATGTATTTTACCTTTTTTTTGTAAGCCGAGCACGTGTAAGGACTTGCCAAGTATATTAAGTTCACGTATATTGAGATAATGGCCGTAATCTAGCCTAGTAACACGTTTGAATTGCTATTTTCTATATAAATTTTATTATAGAAGAACGAGAGATGACTCTGCTATAACTCAGTATCTCTATAAAGTAACACAAGAAAAAAAAAATATACATATATATATATAATTTTTTTTAGTTATACTGTATATACAAATAATATAAAAGGGTCGTATAAATATATGTTTTTACTTCAAAATATCTCACTCATTAATATAATCTGGCCCGCGTGGAGAAGATTCAGGGCCTCCGTCAGGTTGTTGTGGTCCAGCAGGCGTCATGGCAGCTGCGACGTCGTGTATGGGAATGTCTCGGTAGATAGGGAGTGAACAAGGTGTGGCTGACGGCGGCTGTCTCGCATAATACACGTGAGAGTGGCTTAGTCGGCAGTGAGTAGAGGAGAGGAGGAGAGGGGAGAGGAGGGGAGAGGAGAGGAGGGGAGCGGAGGGGAGCGGAGGGGAGATTATCAAAGTAACTCCAGCACAGTCGTATACACCCACAACAAGAACCGTCAAGCTGAATCATCACTGGATAAACAAAATATAAACAATATCCTTCTCGTTATAAAGGAATCTAAGGCCACAACACTATAAGGTTTACAAACACCAAAGCATAGATGGATTAACACGAGGAAAGTTTCAATCTATTCAGGCGTTTCTCTTTACTCTCACTTATCTTATCTACCACAGAGAAAGTCATGTTTATACGAACTAGAGAATATAATAGTTTGAATATTACGTGTAAAATAATAATCTTACAGGTGGAGGTGCAAGATAGATGTGACAGCGGCAACAAAATATGACTAATACTTTCGCGATGCTCATTTGTCATTCCCTTATAGATGTTTTACTCGTTGACTGATATTCTCCCTACACAACTTTACCGCTTACTGTAAGTGTACTCGTTCTGTTCATTAAGAATTAAATAATAAAGGTATATCAAAAGTCCACAATAAACCTAACCCATAACTATGTCATTGTTTGTTTACCGCAATGTATTCTGGGGTCAGGTCGGGGTCAGGTCGGCCATCTTTGTTTACACCCTGCTTGACATACCTGAAGTCACTTGCTGCTGAAATGACACAAAATAAACTGTTGTGTGACTAATTGTGTTTCAACGGCATGGCGATTACTTCTTTAGCATCCTATCACTCTATCAGCTACAAGAGACCTCATACAAACGCTATTAATATTACACAATGTAACCAACCAAAGTAAAACAATAATAGAAAACTTGAGGTGATAAAAGGGAAACTGACCTAAATATTAAGACGTCAGGTGCATTTGGTCACATTACATAATGATATGTGTTGGGTGTTTTCAGAGTCCTGGTGTGATATTTATGTTATCAGAGAGAAAATGATTAACTTTTTGGAAGGTGTGACACTCTTCCATCAACCCTGTTCCCTCTCTATGTCTGTCTCGTTACCAGATATACTCAGAACCTTCACTTAAATTCACCTTCACAAAATGGTCTAGAATGGTGGAGTCAAACCAAAGTGGCAATAGACCAGGATGAAAGAATGCAAGAGAGTTTATTTTTTACATTCTTACTAGGGCGTGGAGGACGTCTAGTGTCGAGGATCCGATTCTCAAAGGTTCCTACGTCAGACTTTTTTCCGAGCTTCAGGTAGATAAAAAAAAAGGGCCGCTTGTGACTGGAATATTTTAACTGAGGGTCGAAAAACACTACAGACAATAATGACAACATCTAAATACGACTTTAAAATAAATAGATATCCACTCTTAATTTAATCCTCAGTTCCGGAGAGAAATAAAACTACGATTAAATAAAAACTAAACTATAGATATTATTTAACATTATTGGAACCGTCAAAGAAAAACACGGGAAAAGTTTCTACACACACTGAGTCTTATAAAATATATATATTTTTTTAATATTTGCGAGGACAAATATAAAATGAATATAATATAGAGTACAGATATAATATAAATCAATAGACAGAGAAAGGAGCGAATTATCTATATAATTTATAGCCGGTGAAAGGGAGACAGGGAGACAACTTGAGAGGAATTCATTTTGTATACACGGTGATCAAGAAGTCCCTGTGCACCTGCCATAATAAAAAAATAATAATTATTTACTTTTTTATACTTACAGTAAATATAAATAATGGTCACAGTAAATTTAGAAGTGGACACCATTACCACAGTTACGTAAATAGAACAAGGAATAAGTGTAGTGTTTGTTATTGTAGGTGCACAAGGACTTTTTGATCACCCTGTATAATGCTGGGAGACGACAGGGGTTTATTGAGTGTGGTTTTCTGCGTGTGTGTGTGAGTGTGTGTGTGTGTGTGAGTGTGCGTGAGTGTGTGTGTGTGCGTGAGTGTCTGTTACAGTGTGTGAGTTTGTTTTTATACACTTATCTACTACCACAAGGATCTATCTACCATCTACGCCCTAAAGGTGACGGGAGTTGTGTAAGGACGAGCGGGGTGACAGGATCGGAGGGAGGAGGGCGCGGTATGAGACTCCTGCTGGCTGAGTTATCATCACCCCACGCATGAAAGCAAGAAGGGCGTGGGCTGAGATATTTCCCCCCACAATTTCTCCTCATATTTGACTATTACGGGCGGTGATCATGGGCGTGTGGGCGTCAGTTATATCATGGGGGTATATCCCATATGTGGGGACGATATTATAATGGGTTAGAAAGGTGACGGAGGGTGGACAGTATATAAAGAGTGTTTGACAGATGAACAGCAACAGTTACTCAAACAAGACGTTCTCTAGAAACATGGCAGTGTTGGTGAGTATGATTTGGTTTCTAGTGATCAAGGCTTGTGGTGTTTTGGTCTGTATTTGGTCTGTGTGTGGTCTGTGATCAGTATTTAGTGGTCTGTGTGTGGTCTGTGGTCAGTATTTAGTGGTCTGTGTGTGGTCTGTGGTCAGTATTTAGTGGTCTGTGTGTGGTCTTAGTCAGTGGTTTAATCAAAGAGTTATATTTTCATTACATTTTTTTTCTGATTCATCTGTTTTGTCAATAAGGTTTTATCTTTGTGTTGCCAGTGAGTGGAGGAAGTCTTGACACGGACTCAGTTATGTGTCATGAATTATTCAGTTATTGTTACACAGATAATCATCGCTACTTACTACTTAAAAGAAATCCTGAGCACTACCATTTGCACTTATAAACTATTGTACAAAGATTCTTATATCCCATAAGTAGTTCAGTAGTGTTAATAATGTCCTCTCTTCCGTTTATCAATAATATAGTTAACGTTGTTGGTGTAAACTGTTGGTGTAAACTGTTGGTGTAAGCTGTTGGTGTAAACTGTTGGTGTAAACTGTTGGTGTAAGCTGTTGGTGTAAATTGTTGGTGTAAGCTGTTGGTGAAAATTGTTGGTGTAAATTGTTGGTGTAAACTGTTGGTGTAAACTGCTGGTGTAAAGTGTTGGTGTAAACTATTGGTGTATATGATGGTTACAAGGATTTAACTCTACAGATGCAAGATACTGATGTGGAATTAATTTAGCAACATGAGACAGGAAAAGTTTATGTTGCAGGTAGTGATGATGGTGCTGGCAGGTGTAGTGGCGGCTCAGGACGCAGCACCACCGGCGGCCCAGCTGAGAGTCGTCACTCCAGGAGGTAAACCAGTGGTGGGGATTGTACGTAACCTCCAACACGCTCCAGACGTCGACGGCAGCCACAGCTCAGACTTCGAGGCTGAGAACGGTATCCAGTTCCAATTCTCAGGATCTCAGGGAGCAACGGGCGGCGCCAACATGGTGGGACACTACAGGTCAGGCGCCAACAACAACTGTTCATTGATGTTTCCGGTGTCTGTCTATTTATATCTCGAGTGCTTACATCTGTCCTGAAGTGCTGTCGCTGCCCCTCTCTTATACTGTCACGGTGGTGGAGTGTAGTGCCTGCATTGTGCTGTATCTTTCCTATAGAATCCACTTTCAGTTTCTTGGCATATTTACATTATAAAACACTCCTCCAATCACTATATTAAATAAATGTTACTCCTCCAGCTACCCTCTGGAGGACGGCAAGGTGGTAGAGGTCCAGTTCGTGGCTGACGAGAACGGTTTCCAGCCCCAGTCCGACCTGCTGCCCGTGGCCCCCGCCTTCCCCCACCCCATCCCCCAGTTCGTCCTCGACCAGATCGCCTTCGCTGAGGCCGAGAGGGAACGCAAGGCTCGTGAGGGCATTAGGGACGAGTACGCGTACGAGCCTTCAAGTAATTAGACAGTTACTCCCTTAACACTCTAAATTGGGAAAAAGGACAGAAGAACAGATGTTATTTTATGGACGGATGGGCCGGACCGTCCAACCGTCCCATAGTACTCCACTGATGATTTTATTTATGTTGTTTGTATTTATTATTGCTACTGGGCTCCGGTACTACGTTGTGAGGATCTTGAACTAAAACCAGTGTACACGCGAGCAATAAATATAACGTGAATGCTTAATGGTGCTTTTATTGGTGCCAGAGATTCCCTTACATGAATGGTGATGACTGAACCATTTGTCACGCACACACACACAGTCATGAGCTCACCGTGGTATACGTATTGCTTCCTCAAAAGTTGAAGTTAAAGACGAAGTGGACATTTTACCGTACACCAGAATTCATTTCAACACAGTTCTACTTTCCGGATGTCTAGACACATATTTTGCCTTGAGGTTCTTTAAAAAACATAACAAAACAACGAAACTAAACGTAACCTAACCTAACATAACGTAACCTAACCTAACCAACTTAAATAAGACATTTAAAGCCATAACAATAAACAGATACATTATGTTTGGTTGGGTTAGATTGATGAGAAATTCCAGGCAAAATAATGTGTCTGTATCTGATAGCAAATTCTCGGCAAAATATCCACTATGTTGTAAAGATAAGTGTGAGAGTATTTCCTGAGTGTCTTTGGTCTATCTGAAATGTGAAATTAAAAAAAAAATAAATAATTCACAGTTTCTATTCGACTCAGAAAAATTTGAAAAAAAAATATATGAATGGTTTTACTATTGAGAAATATAATTAGTAAATAAAAAGTAATACGAGAAACCTGAATATTTGACACCCAAGCTTATAATACTGAATAAACTATCAGCAAAGACTAATTTATAAAGCTTGTTTATCTAGATGAATATTCAACGCCTCTGATAACACGTGACCTCGGACACACATACACGCACTAGAAGTTATTATTTTTTTTCGTTTGTTTTGGTATAAATATTAAGAGCATTAAGGAAAAGCTTTTGGGTTTGTTTATAAAAGACAAAAGCGCAACGCATTTCCTAAGTGAATTGGATTTTTTAATAGCTATTATACCTTTTATGTGAGTCACTGTTGAGTCTTTTATGTGAGTCACTGTTGAGTCTTATGCGACTCACTACTGTTGTGGACGTAAAACACAATCAAACCCCCCCCACACACACACACACCACACAGACACACAGACACACACACACACACCACACACACACACACCCACACACACACACCACACACACACACACACACACACACACCACACACACACACACACACACACACACACACACACACACACACACACACACACACACACACACACATACACACACACACACACACACACACACACACACACACACACACACACACACACACACACACACACACACACACACCCACACACACACACCCCCACACACACACACCCACACACACCGACACACACACACACACCATATCACCCACACACACACACACACACACACCCACACACACACACACACACACCCACACACACACACACACACACACCACACACCTCCCCCCCACACACACACACACACAGACACACACACACACACACCCCCACACACCCCCCCCCCCACACACACACACACACCACACACACCCACACACACACAAGCACACACACACACACACCACAGACACACCCACACACACATTACACACACACACACACACACACACACACACACGATAATAATACATAAACATACTATTAACATTAAGACAAAGAAGAATTACAAAATAAATTCTTAATCTCATCTTACAAAGGCCACTCTTTATTTATTTTGATCTCAGTTATGTCTTTGTTGTTGAGGTGTTGTTGTTGTTGTTGTTGTTGAGGTGTTGTTGTTGTTGTTGTTGTTGTGTTTGTTGTTGTTGTTGTTGAGGTGTTGTTGTTGTTGTTGTTGTTGTTGTGTTTGTTGTTGTAGGTAGAAAGAAGATATGCCAAATTAATGAACGTATTCTTAATTAAACTTAACACCCACCCACCCCCCTCCCCCTTTGATCACTCTTCCGCTTGGCACACTTTCACACGGGGAGGAGGGGAGAATTAGGGAGGAGAAGAGGGAGGAGAAGAGGGAGAAGACGAGGGGAGAAGAATTAGGGAGGAGAAGAGGAGAAGAATTAGGAGGGAAGAGGGAGGAAAGAGGGTAAGAATTAGGAGGAGAAGAGGGGAGGAGAAGGGAGAAGAGAGGGGAGAAGAATTAGGGAGGAAGAGGGAGAAGAATTAGGGAGGAGAAGAGGGAGGGGAAGAGGGAGAATTAGGGGAGGAGAGAGGGGAGGAGAAGAGGGGAGAAGACGAGGGGAGAAGAATTAGGGAGGAGAAGAGGGGAGACAGAATTAGGGGAGGGGAAGAGGGGGAGAAGAATTAAGAGGGAGAGAGGGGGGGAGAAGACGGAGAATAATTAGGGAGGAGAAGAGGGGAGGAGAAGAGGGGAGAACGAGGGGAGAAGAATTAGGGAGGAGAAGAGGGGAGAATTAGGGGAGGGGAAGAGGGAGAAGAATTAGGGGAGGAGAAGAGGGAGGAGAGAGGGAGAAGGGGGAGGAGGAGGAGGAGGGAGAAGAATTAGAGGGAGAAGAATTAGGGGAGGAGAAGAGGGGGAGAAGACTCGGGGAAGAATTAAAGAGAAGAGGGGAGGAGAAGAGGGGAGGAGAAGAGGGAGGAGAGGAAGAAGAAGAGGGGAGAAGAAGAGGGGAGGAGAAGAGGGGAGAAGAATTAGGGGAGGAGAAGAGGGGAGAGAGGGAGAAGAATTAGAGGAGAAGAGGGGAGAAGAATTAGGGGGGAGAGGGGGAGAAGAGGGGAGAATAATTAGGAGGAGAAGAGGGAGAAGAGGGAGGAAGAAGAGGGGAGAAGAATTTAGGGGAGGAGAAGAGGAGAAGAGGGAGGAGAAGAGGAGGAGAAGAGGGGAGAGAGGAGAAGAATTAGGGGAGGAGAAGAGGGGAGGAGAAGAGGGGAGAAGAATTAAGGGAAAATTATATAGAGCAGTATTTAGTTACCATGGAAACCTCAAAATCTCTTCCTCAAGAAATTAATAAAAGCGTTTTAACTCTTTTTCCCTGACGTGTAGTTGATGTGAACGAGAACAGTATATGGAGTTATTATAATACAACTCAAGAGATGGAAACTAAGGTGATGGTGGTTTGGTTTTGTATTTAAATTGAAAGTCGAAATATTATGTTCTGTATGAGTTCTGAATTTGCCTTGATGGAGTCTATGTTAATATAGGTCTATCTTTCTTATTTCTTATTAATCTAAGTACTGGGTTTTCTTTTCTTTTTTTTTCCTGTTCGTATTCTTATTTCTTCCTTTTCCTTCTATTTTTTTGTTATTCCTTCTTCGTATTCTTCTCTGCTTCTTCATTCTTCTTATTCCTTCTTGCTTCGTCTACCTTTTTGCTAACTCTTCTTATTCCTTCTTTTTCTTCTTCATTCTTCTTCTAATTCCTTCTTTTTATTCCTTCTTCTCTCACTCTCTCTCCAACAAGGAAGTATGAGAGGAAGCCATGATAATACTCAACTTTTTGCTAAGCCTCTTTGACGCCACACCCATACACAAACCTGATGAGCTTCACTGTCTGTAAGGCGGCTCTCTCTCTCCCTCCCAGATACCAACAGAAACATCAAGATTATTGGTCATAACTAAGGCCATCTTGTGTCCCATATACCGAATGTTTCTTATCAGTTGTGTGTTTGAAAGTCTTTATTTTATTACTAATTATATGACGTTTCTTATTTCTTATCACCTAATTAATATTTCATCAAACGTTAAATAACCCGGATATACTAGATCAAGCGTGTTGAGATATTAATATACCCGGGGAAATAACACTTGGCATGGTATATTACCCTCGATGGCTGGTAGCGTCACCATGGAAACAGCTCACCGTGCCATTCCACACTTTCACTCTTGAAAAATTTCCCCCTATGTCCACACACTCGAGTGATCTCTTGGAATTAGCCCACCGCTGAGAATCCCTGTATAAAATGTCACCTATTGCTAAGTGGTCGTTATGTTGATTATTCTAAGAGCTGACGCCGTCCATTGAGGCACTGACACATACTTCACTGACTGGCGATTCTCAGTTAAAGAAATTCGTTCGTATATACCAGTAGCAGCTGATGTCGAAACACAACCAGAGTATCACGACTCACGTTACACCCAACAGAGGCCAAACAATTAACCTGTAAACCACGTCTTCTCCTGACACCGACCAACCAGATTCCAATTTACATACCGATATATTTTCACCTTTTACCAGGGATCAGGGAACGTATTTGTAGTCTTAATCAAATATCCACGTTTGATTATCTTCTCAGTTATATACGTTCTCATTTTAGGGGGAAATTTTTAACGTATATTACCTAGAGTGTTGGGAGTGTGTGGTAAGGGGGGGGGGTGTCCATGATAGACTACTGAATCGTTTTTGCTGACCCGATACAAAATACCTGGAATGCTTCGTCGTCGTCTTCTTCCTCCTCTACTCGCATCAATATTCAGGCCAGCGACTCTCCTCAATGGAACGAATTGATATGCTAATACCTCACTGGAAATATCTTAAAGACGCAGATAGCACAAGGTAACATACATGTTTTTCTTAAGCAGTTGTTGGCAGCGACCTGTGTGTACTAGCTCTCCGCGTCCGACTCTTTTGATTCTTTTTGAAATGCATCTCCGTCTCCTCCCGTCGTGTTGCTCCGTCATTACTACGCCCGCGAACTAGTTTCTGCTTTTATGACAACACGGCTTAATCTCTGGTAACACTCGACATCGGGAACTAAAGATAAACCAACAAGGACAATATAATTCGTCGTATCTTAACCAGTTGTGAAGAATTAAACTCGGCATCAGCGACACGTATACTTGCCTGGGCGGGTTCAACTCCTATTAGTCATGTAACCAACCTGTAGTGGGTCTCAAGTCTCAGAGGTCCGGTGGTTAAATGCCTCTTGATATAGAAAAATCATCTAAATTATTTACTTATGCTACGACACACAGATAGAAGATAAACTTACATTCAAACCGTTATTATATGTTAGTTAGAAGGAAAAAATTTACACGTTAACTGTTGTTTCTCTAGGACTAATTGACGCCATGTGTGGCTAGTAAGGGTAGCAGCGTACCACCTCCCTGCTGTGTCGAGATAATTCTAGTGATGGTTGGTTGCACCTACGATATGGACATCACTGACAGGACTCCATTGTTGTAGAAGATTAAAAGTAGTTCAACTCGCCTTACAAATAACCTCACTGTATCGTAGGGACTCGAGAACTTTAATATAATTGTATAATATATAACACAATGTACTTATATTATACTCAACAATTGGTACATTATTTTTTTTCCCTAACGTGAGATAAATGAACACGTATCGTTGCTGTTGTCTTTCAATGTAAATATAATACAACTTTCTTTTTCCGCCTTTGTTGTGTTGGAACTTAAATGAATCAATTAGATGTGTTTCCACCTCAACAGTTAGGAGAAAATATTAACAACGGAGCCTTTGAGAGTCTAAGGATCTGTGTCTGCGTCCTTTGAGAGTCTAAGGATCTGTGTCTGTGTCCTTTGGGAGTCTAAGGATCTGTGCTTGTGTCCTTTGAGAGTCTAAGGATCTGTGCTTGTGTCCTTTGAGAGTCTAAGGATCTGTGCTTGTGTCCTTTGAGAGTCAAAGGATCTGTGCTTGTGTCCTTTGAGAGTCTAAGGATCTGTGTTTGTGTCCTTGATTCCACTGTGCCTCCTCGTGCCCGGTCCCACGTCATCACCGCCTTGGAAGACAGCACTAGGTGTAAAATACATTCCTTTAACCACCATCCAAACACTAAAATATTACCTAAACGATGCATTAGTGAACAAATAAAACATATCCTGTATCTATATTATACAAAATGATATAATACTTCTCAGATAATATTATACACCAGTAAATATTATACTAGTGAAGCCGACAGTGTTGATTACTCTCATAAATATTACTTAACGTCAGGTGTAACTTTTAAACCAAAATATATAATTAATAATAGGGATTAAGATTAATGAGTTAACTACTGAAGACGTGAGAGCCACACCCTTTCACTCAGGTACAAGACAGGTGAGCTAGGTGACAGGTGAGCCAGCCAGGTAACAGGTGACCGAGCCAGGTAGCAGGTGAACAGAGAGGATACAATCTGGCGTAATTTACACCAACAATCAGATAAATAACATGAAAAGAATAAAACAATTAAAAAAATGAAAAAATGACAAAAGTATTGGACAAAGAATGAATCAGATTATGACCAGGTGTTGTGCAGGTAATTGGATAAGAACAGGTAAAAGGTTAGTAATAATTAAGAGATGGAGGATAATAAGAGTGTGTGTGGGGAGGGGGGGGGGGTTATAAGCGTGCATTGATCTATAGGAAGGTGAAGGAGAGAGAGAGAGAGAAAAATGTGTATGTTGTTGTTGATATATTTGGATGAATCATAAACACGTTGGTTGAAAAACATTACCATTATTTCATCATTCTCGTCTTTATAAGTGGCTGTGTGTCTGTGGCCGCGGGAGAGTAAGTACTGGTAGGTGTTGATTGCTGCTTATATATTCTGGTCAGGAATAGGACGTCCATAATCACACGAAGCTAAATTGATCGGGACAATAGCGGGAGGAATTTGATTTGCGTACCAGTTTCGGCAAGGTCTTAACACACAAACCAGTTACTGTGATAAACCGCAGGGAAAGACATTAATGTCTCTCTCTCTCTCTCTCTCTCTCTCTCTCTCTCTCTCTCTCTCTCTCTCTCTCTCTCTCTCTCTCTCTCTCTCTCAGGAACCATACTCATCAAAACACTGAACTTTTACTTGCTAGACTGGAAAATTATCGTAAGTTACAGTGTTGTACTTAAATTAGTGTACCTGGTCCTTGCTTTACCTGATCTAAATTAAGGATACCTGGTGAGTGGTTTACCTGGTGAGTGGTTTACCTGGTGAGTGGTTTACCTGGTGAGTGGTTTACCTGGTGAGTGGTTTACCTGGCGAATGGTTTACCTGGTGAGTGATTTACCTGGCAAGTGGTTTACCTGGTGAGTGGTTTACCTGGCGAGTGGTTTACCTGGTGAGTGGTTTGCCTGGCGAGTGGTTTACCTGGCGAGTGGTTTACCTGGTGAGTGGTTTTACCTGGCGGTGGTTTGCCTGGTGAGTGGTTTGCCTGGTGAGTGGTTTACCTGGCGAATGGACTTTACCTGGTGAGTGGTTTTACCTGGCAGTGGTTTACCTGGTGAGTGGTTTTACCTGCTGAGTGGTTTACCTGCTGAGTAGTTTACCTGGTGAGTGGTTTACCTGGTGAGTGGTTTACCTGGCGAATGGTTTACCTGGTGAGTGATTTACCTGGCAAGTGGTTTACCTGGTGAGTGGTTCATAGGTATCAGGAACTATCTCTCGACATCTACAGTTCCTCCTCAAACAACTTACAATACTTTTTTCTACATCTTATTGCATTAAGTTGTGCCTTACCTGTGTTGTGTGCGTGAGAGAGAGAGAGAGAACCTGCCATCACAACATAAATTACCACAAAAGAACGAACGAGAAAACTTAACATCACGTAACTATTTAACGAACGAGTGAACAACACACAGATGACGATAAATAATAACAAAACAAACCGATACCTGAACAATACAAGCAACCATATAACAAGGTAGAGAGATTACTAGGACTCAATAACAAGGTAGGGAGATTACTAGGACTCAATAACAAGGTAGAGAGATTACTAGGACTCAATAACAAGGTAGAGAGATTACTAGGACTCAATAACAAGGTAGGGAGATTACTAGGACTCAATAACAAGGTAGAGAGATTACTAGGACTCAATAACAAGGTAGAGAGATTACTAGGACTCAATAACGCGTCTGTGAGTTCGTCTTGATCACCTAATGCTATTGTGACCCTGTTACCATCATAGCAATTTGTTGTAGCAAGTTTAAATGTCTGGCTACTTTGCTCTTCCCACCACCAGCCTACATTTACAGACTGGGTGATGGGTGATAGGAGTGGGTGATGGGTGATGGGTGATGGGTAATGGGTGATAGGGAGTGGGTAATGGGTGATGGGGAGTGGGTAATGGGTGATGGGGAGTGGGTAATGGGTGATGGGTAATGGGTGATGGGTGATGGGTGTAATGTTATATCTCCCAAGCTGGATTAACAGAGTCGTTACTACTACAAAAGGTAAGCAAAGATTACCTGCCCGCTTATATATTGGTAAGGGTGTGTTAGGTTAGGTTAGGTAAGATTAGGTTAGGTTAGGTTAGGTTAGGTTAGGTTAGGTTAGGTTAGGTTGTGGCCGTTAATCTAAGAGTATTTATTTACCACAGACTTACAAACATTATTATCTTAAGTCAGTTACATCGTTGCTACCAGCTTTAATATACTAGCTTTAATACTATCTTTAATATACTAGCTTTAATACTATCTTTAATATACTAGCTTCAATACTATCTTTAATATACTAGCTTCAATACTATCTTTAATATACTAGCTTCAATACTATCTTTAATATACTAGCTTCAATACTATCTTTAATATACTAGCTTCAATACTATCTTTAATATACTAGCTTCAATACTATCAATATACTAGCTTCAATACTATCTTTAATATACTAGCTTCAATACTATCTTTTGTATACCCCAAGCTTCAATACTATCTTTAATATACTAGCTTCAATACTATCTTTAATATACTAGCTTCAATACTATCTTTAATATACTAGCTTCAATACTATCTTTAATATACTAGCTTCAATACTATCTTTTAATATACTAGCTTCAATACTGTCTTTTGTATACTAGCTTCAATACTATCTTTAATATACTTCAGCTTCAATACTATATTTTGTATACTAGCTTCAATACTATCTTTAATATACTAGCTTCAATACTATCTTTAATATACTAGCTTCAATACTATCTTTAATATACTAACTTCAATGTTCACTTTCTACCTAAACACAACCGCCATCCTAGCAGTAAGTCCAGATACACGAGTACACCCGAGTATCAGTAGTCTCTCAGCCTCCGTCACCTCTCATATGGCTAACGGAATATGTGGAGATAGACGTCCGTTATATCGAGGGTCCGTTATATATGAAGAGAAGTTTGTTATATGGTTTCACTGTAAATGGGGACAAGAGAAGCCAGCCAGCCAGCCAGCCAGCCAGCCAGCCAGCCAGCCAGCCAGCCCAGCCAGCCAGCCAGCCAGCCAGCCAGCCAGCCAGCCAATCGTTTCTCTCCGGAGTTTGAGGTCGCCACTCAGCCTTGAACAGCCTTGACCCTCATACTCTCTTGTGATTCCGAAACGGGAACAACAGAGGAGGTGAATCTAGGACTCTGGATCCTTGTTGACCTTCCTGCAGAACTGGGCCTTTATCACTACCCCTTCCCCCCCCACCCAGACCCCCCCCCTCACGCACCCCTCAGCCCCCCTCCCTACCCCCTTCCTGGCCAGGGTCGGTAGGGAGAGGGAAGCAGGTATAAAGAGTCAGACACTCCCAGGTCCTGCCAGCAGAGATCTTAAGTCCTCTCACCTTACAAACATGAAGCTGGTGAGTTACTCTAGTGTTAACTCTCCTTCACTACAGGGACGCCATTTATGAAGTTTGATTCAACACTAAGACGCCTCCAGTATACAAGAGGTTAAAACAAGACAGTGATTTTGAGGGAGGTTCAAGGGGGGGGGGGGGCTTGGTTTGGTGGTCAAATTAGTTGAGAATATAGACATATGTAAAACACTGAAAGCGTCTAATTCCTGACAAGTTACTCAGAAAGATAAGCACACACACGCACACACGAACACACACACACACACACACGAGCTTGCAGCAACAACAGCAAGATAATGGTGTCACGGAATACTTCAAGTGTCTTTCAAAATACAATCAACTGGTGATAGTTTCCTTTCCTTGTAATTTGTAAAGTTGTGAAACAGTCTATCATTGTGATGTTCTAAGTACTTGTTATTGATGTGTTTCAAGCAGTGTTGGTTATTATGTTTTATTTCACCAGATTTCGTTGTAATGAATGTTAGATATTGGTAGATTTGTCTAAAGTCGTGGTAGTGATAGTTGTTGTTGTGTTGGTGGTAGTAGTAGTTGTGTTTCAGTTAGTGGTAGTAGTTTTGTTGTGTTTCAGGTTGTATTAGTGGTGGTGTTGGTGGCCGGGGTCCTGGCAGACAAGAAGCCCCTCGTCGACCCTCCCGTCGCCATCTTGCACAGCGAACAGCATCACCCAGACGCGACCGGCGCACACAGCTTCGACTTCGAGGCGGAGAATGGTATCAAGTTGCACGTGTCTGGCTCTCAGGGCGAGAACGGCGGAACCAACAGCATCGGCTACTGGAGGTGAGCTCCTGCTAATTATATATCATCGTCTGGTTGATTATAGTGTAAATTATACAAGTATTTATAATTTGGAACTGATTGAATTATAGTCAAACTCTCTCCTCCTCCTCCTCCTCCAGTTACCCATTGGAGGACGGTAGTGTGGCATCACTCAAGTTCGTGGCGGACGAGTTTGGTTTCCAGCCCCAGTCCGACCTGCTGCCCGTGGCCCCCGCCTTCCCCCACCCCATCCCTCAGTTCGTCCTCGACCAGATCGCTTTCGCTGAGGCTGAGAAGACGCGCAAGGCTCAAGAGGGCCATTCTGTTGAGAAATAAGTTACCACCTCACCCTGCCCGCCATAATGTTCTCTACCGAACCAGCGATAACTTATTTATAAATCTCAGACAACGTTTAATAGTATAAGGCTTTAACTATTTATTCTCACTCAGAGTTACACAATAGAACGTAACTCCTGAGTCACCTCCATCATGTAGGTAAACAGAATAAAGTTTTGGATTATGAATGATCATTGTATGTTATCAAGACCACAGGTAAACATGGTGATAAGGTGAGGCTGTGTGGTCATTGGCCTTTCTAACCTCCAACTGGGTCCATAAACTAGTTGGTATCTCTGGCCAGTTGACCTCTAACTGGCCATATTGTGTCCAGCCTTTATATATCTGATCCCTAACTTGCTGCAGATATATTACGAGTGTCTATATATATTTAACATAATAGTTTAAGCCAATATGACTGCACCTTATATACACCCCAATATATATCTACAGCATATTCTTAACTATATCTCCACTATACGCAGATAACAGTATGTGGTGTGGTATTGTCGTCTCCACTAAGGATTCATAAACCGTATTAGCGGACAGTAGTGTGTCTTTGGCCCAGTTCGTAGAGGACGAGTTTGGTTACCAGCCCGAGTTCCCTCACCCTAATCCACAGTTCGTCCTCGACCACATTGCCTTCGTCGAGGCCAAGAGAGAGCGGCTTTCCTTCGAGGGTAACATAGAAGAATATGAATTACCATCATGACCTGATCTTTGACGTAGGACACATTTTACCGTCTTGCTGGGGAGACAAATTTATCTTTGTTTATTAAATCAGCGGAAATATTATTTATTTATATATTAATTATTTTAGGAAGCTACAGTTTCTTACATTATTCCCGCGTCCTTCAGATGATTGAGGCTCCAGCAAAAACAATAAAGATTTAGTTGTTGAATGATCATTATGTGTAGTGAGGACACACCACACTGTATACTGAGCCTTCGGAACACAAGGGCCGACACTACACTCAACAGCTGGGTGGACTAGGGGTGCCCAGGACAGGTCAAGACTATACCCACTGCACTAAAAACTGTAAGAATATATAAGAGACAGACGGTGAGTGACCTGACCGAACAGTTGACCTCTAACAAGTTGTCCTCGCCAGCAGTCTGTCCTTCACCTTGTTGGACGTAAATTAGGTGGTCATTAACTCACTGCCACTTAACTACCTGGTTGTTAAGTAGCTGTTCTCTCATTTCTTAAGACTATAATTACCAAGGGGTAAATATACCTGCCTTGCATGATTAACTGGTCTTTAATGAAGGACTTTGCGGCTACCTGGCTCCACACCCTCTTCTTCTGAGCTCGAGTTCTGGCGCCTTATATAGAAAATTTCTGAACGATACACTATTGAAGTTAGGGAAGGGGGAGGGGGGTAGGTGGGTGGGGGTAGGTGGGGGAGGGGGTTAGGTGGGAGACAGTGGGCGGAAGGAAGAGTGAGTGGTAGAGGTGTGGCAGAATCAACAAATATATATAATAGTCTCTCTCTCTCTCTCTCTCCAACAAAACAAAATTAACAAACTTCTGAAATTTCCTCCCCAAAAAACTTAGCATTATTATAAGAGGCTTTATTAACCCATATAAAGTTAATATACCGATACTTAAGAACATAAATGAAGTGAGAGTTATCGGTCTACTGTTGTTATAGGAGTTAGTTAATGTTAGGTTAGGTTAGGTTAGGTTAGGTTAGGTTAGGTTAGGTTAGGTTAGGTTAGAGTTATAGTGAGGTGATAAGAAGGTCAAGTTAGGATGCATGAGGGACAGCAGAGTGTAGTTGGAGACGATATTGAAACTTGAGAAAGAAAGAAGAAGAAATTGAGGTCACGCAGCTCATGTGTTGGTTATTTGAGTGTTTCACGGGAAGTTAAGACACGGTTTATTGATTACCTGACACAAACTTACCTGGCGAGCTGACCAACTTACCTGGCTAGCTGACCAACTTACCTGGCGAGCTGACCAACTTACCTGGCTAGCTGACCAACTTACCTGGCGAGCTGACCAACTTACCTGGCGAGCTGACCAACTTACCTGGCGAGCTGACCAACTTACCTGGCGAGCTGACCAACTTACCTGGCTAGCTGACCAACTTACCTGGCAAGCTGACCAACTTACCTGGCTAACTGACCAACGTACCTAGTCTTAGCTGATCTTAAATTAGTTGGTGTTAAACTAGCTGGTCTTAAACTAACTGGTCTTAAACTAACTGGTCTTAAACTAGCTAGGTCTTAAACTAGCTGGTCTTAAACTAGCTAGGTCTTAAACTAGCTGGTCTTAAACTAACTTGACCTAAACGAAATATATTAGTATCTTCCTTGGCCTTTACTAATGTCATAAACTAAGTAATGTAAAGTCTAACTAGGGCGTCTCTCTCTCTCTCTCTCTCTCTCTCTCTCTCTCTCTCTCTCTCTCTCTCTCTTCTCTTCTTCGTCGTCTTCTTACCACAGGATGATCAGACAAGAGACCTTAGTTCATCCTACCCTGCGTACAACGTTATAAAGCCATTAAATACCTCCAAGCAGGTTAATAGCTCCTCTTTACAGCTCCGCGATGCTTAAATCAGTTGTGCTTTACATAAACTGTCTAGAGAATGAGATAATGTGTTCATTTTGTTCAGTCTTCTTGTTTGTTATTTTTATATTTAATTTTTATTTGTTTTTACTTCGTTTTCTGTGTCTTTCATCTTATTTTCCCGTTTTCTATGAATTAAATTTTTTTATTTTTTGGATGTTCTATTTGTTACAGAGAGAGAGAGGTGTCTGCTCCTGCTTGATATAACGGGAGGGAGGACCACTATTATCAGTCGCTCTTCGTGGACGTTATCTGAGTGGCATCAGTGACAGGAAGAACAGTTAGAGTTAAGAACATTAATGTGAACAGAAGCGACTGCGACATTGAGAAGTCTAGCATCAAGAATAAAAATATTTTAGATAATTAGAGAAACAAGAGCAGCAACAACAGTCAGTGGTAGCAATGATAACTTCAACAACTAATAACAGTAACAACAACACAAACGTTACCAATGACAAAAACAAAATAGAACATTATGGATGGCAACATACATTATACAGCTACATACACAACATACACTACAGCTACATACACAACCTGCACTACAGCTACATACACAACATACACTACAGCTACATACACAACATACCTACAGCTACATACACAACATACACACTACAGCTACATACACAACATACACTACAGCTACATACACAACGCATACACTACAGCTACCTTACACAACATACACTACAGCTACATACACAACATACACTATTTCATGCACAACATACACTACAGCTACATACACAACATACACTACAGCTACAGGAATTCTGAATTTTTCGTGAGATGAATATATTATTAACACTGAAGAGAATAATAGTTCTACTTGTGTTTTACAAAGTCAAAAACCTTCGACCAGCAAAACGCCAGACTTAACGAGAACAGAGAGTGAGTTAGTCCTGTGTGTGTATGAGAGGGGTTGCTCTCTCTCCTGTATACACCATCTGTGAGGTAATTACTACACGTGAGGTCCCTCATAACACCATCTGCGAGGGAATTACTACACCACGCCAGGTCCCTCATAACAACATCTGAGGGAACTACTACACCATCTGGGAGGGAGTTACTACACTAAGAGTTTGCTGTTCAACACCTACATTAATCTGTATGTTCACTGTATGTTCCTTTACCTTTCTCTAATGAAGGCTTTTGTTAAACCACCAATGTATGTAATAAGTCATTTATGTCCAATGTATATTTTCAGCCTCCGGGCTGCAGAATTTTTTCAATAAACCGTTAATTATTATTATTATTATTATTATTATAACCAAAAAGTATCTTCACGGAGGGGATCAATAAATTCCAAAATGAACACAGTGACTCCTGTTGTCTCGGTAGGGTTGTCATAATTGTTCATCCGTTGTGTCATATTGTCTAACATAAAATCGTAAAGATACATTTTTGGGAGCGAATTAGCTCAACCAAGACTGTTCTGGCCCAAACTTTGTTGTTGTGATCTAGCAAAGAATCCCAGGTGGAATATTAGAGGTGTTGTCCGCTGTTGTTGATTGACCAGGTAGCCTTTATTATCCCGGTAGCCACCCCCCTAGTGTGTAAGGTAAACAAGTCCGCCCCCTAGTGTGTAAGGTAAACAAGTCCGCCCCCTAGTGTGTAAGGTAAACAAGTCCGCCCCCTAGTGTGTAAGGTAAACACGTCCGCCCTTTAGTGTAAGGTTATCTAGAACCAAACAACCAGGTCCTGCCCTTACAAGATCAATAAACCCCACACACGAAAATGCTTCACGTAAGCTCTTCCTTTCCGACACTAAATTTAAAAAAAAAAAAACAGTATTCGTAACTTCCACTAATGTCTCGATCACAGTAGATGGTAAGGCAGCCGACACACACTACAGTATAATGGAGAGCTCGAATCTGGCTACACTGTTCTGGTGTCCTGGTCTTGGCTACACTTGATAAGATAAACACGAAGACTCCAACAGCTGCTCAAGAGAAGAAACATTATACATTCATGATCTTATCACAGATATCAAGTTCTTACGTTCACAATAATGCAAAGCACTTTAAGTCTCACACACATATCAAATATTACATTGAAATTTTAGTGTCAAACTCCAACACAAACGCGGCGTGTAGTGTTGCTTCTCCCTGCTTCACTATCACGCTGTAACTCACTCTTCCTTACAGTTATATTATGTATCATTTGTACGAAACTCTGGACACAAAACTCAGATCAAGGAACCGTGTTTAATTGGTTTAAGAATTACGTGTTATTACGATTATGGAGAACAGTAAGGAGGAGGGGGCGGGGGTACATGTCAAATGAACCTGACTGATGGCTCCACAACCTTGGGAGAGTGTTCTTGATTACGTATTGTTGTGATGATGTTGTTGTGTTGTGTTTTGGTGATTGTGATTCAGATTGTAGGTGTTGTGACGTGTTTCAGGTAGTGGTAGAAGAACAGGTGTACAGTAGGTGTGGAGTAGATGTGGAGCAGCAGGTGTAGATGTTGAGTAGGTGTAGGTGTGGAGTAGGTGCAGGTTTGGAGTAGGTGTGGATGTAGAGCAGGTGTAGGTGTGGAGCAGCAGGTGAAGGTGTGGAGTAGGTGTAGGTGTGGAGCAAGTGTGGATGTAGAGCAAGTATAATTGTG